GGAGACTCCGCAAGGAGGTGGTCGAAGTGCGAGAAGTCGGAGAGGCGTTGGCAGAGGAACGCAGAGAACAAGTGCATGCGGCCCCTGCGTAAAAATGCGTGAACAAGCCCTGAGCGAGCTTGCGTCATCAGGTTCGCGCCAGTGCCTGCGAGAAATTAGCGATATTTTTTCGTCGTCGGGCATGGCGAGGTTGTCAATGATTGCATCGGCAATTTCTTGTGGTATTCGCATGGCCGCAACTGTTGAGAAGTATGAATTCAATGAGACAATGCGCAATACAGTGGAAGGTACCTGCCACTGGCTGCCGGCGAGCGCAATTGAATGAGCGTTTCTTGGGGCCCTGTAAGTTAGGCCTGTTTTGCAAATCGGTTTATAAACACCTGTTTATAAACCAGTTTTTAAATGGTTGGAGCAAAATGAGTCGTTTTAAAATGTTTCGGGGCCACGGACCGCCGGCAATCAGCTATAGAAAAATATCGGCGCAGCTTCAATGCAGCTTTGCAACGGCCATATTTGGCTCTGGGGCCACCTGAGAGACACTCGCTACAACCAGGAACTCAAGTATCTGCGATGGCGTGGATGTAACATTTCTTTTTGTCAGAGATTTGTTGGCAGATAAGCCTCTTGATCAAGCCGGCACCATCAACAGCCTTACAGACTGGTCGGGAAGAGGCATAGGGAGTGTAGTCGCAGGTGACAAGGGTGAGCAGGCCACTGGGAAGATTTTTTGGGATAGTAAGGCCTGATGAGGTCGTATTTCAGACTCTGGTTTAAAAACTGGTTTAAAAACACCTGGTTTATATAAACTGTTTAAAAACCGGTTTTTAAATCGCTGGGAATAACTTACAGGGCCCTAGCGCCGCCGCCGCCGCCGCCGCCGCTTCTGTCAAGAGGTTGTGACGACTTTGGTGATGCTGGTGTCTGTTTGTCCAGATAAGATAACATAAGATTAACGAGCATTAAGCTTCTGAAAAATACTCTATCCAGAGGGCTACTAGACGGACAGGGTGAGAGTCTGAGATAAGAGAAGCCGCATCCTTTGCGTTCATCTCCGTACGTGTAAAAGCCGATGTACAAGCTTGAGCACATCACACAAATTTCGAGTGGCCCCCACGCCCACCGCGCGTGTTCTCTGGGGACGCGCTGCGCCGTGCGCGGCGAGAAAAGATGGCGGAGAGGCCGGTGCACCAGCCTGTGTAGGTAGGTACTAGTTAGCGTTGGCAGCGGCGGCATAAAGTAAAGGAAAGGGGAGGGGAGGGTGTGTGTTCGCTGTTGGGATGATAGGACGAAGTATGTAAGTGAACAGGATGACGGAAGGGAAGGAGCGGGGAGGGAGAGGCGGACAAGAGGGAGGGGATTGGGAGCAAAAGGACAGGAGGAGCGAAAGGGGAAGAAGCAAGAGTATGATACGAGGACGAGATGCCGACCTCGGGCACGGGCGGGCAGCGACAAACGTATGGAAATAGGGAGCGGGAGCGGGTGGAGAGGAGGTGAAGACGCGCGCGCGGCGAATGCGCCGGCGCAGAGCCCAGGGGCTGGCGCCGCCACCGCAGAAGACGACGTGCGCCTCAGAAAGCCCGCCAGTACCCCAAAAAGCCTGAACGCAGCCACAGGCCCCAAACGGCAGAAGCTCGAAAGCCAGAACCACGCTGCCCACATGAGACGCCCGCACGGCGACGAGGGAAAGCGAAAAGAGGTGCGGGCGAGCGTGCGGCACTCCATCGAAAGAATGGAACGGGTCAAGGAAGGAGCGGGGAGGGGGTGGGAGATGAAGGAGATTGGATGAAGGGAGTAGGAAGGGGAGGGAACCCGGGAAGAAGGAGGGGATGGAGGATGGGAAGAGGGAGGTGGAGGTGGGATGTGAACGCACGGATGTGGTGGTAGATGAGAACGGGGACAAGATTGGGGGATGGAGGGACGACGCGGCTGACGCGCACCCCATAGAGTGGTATTAAAGCCGCCAAGGTGGTGCGCTAACGCACCCGTAATTGCCGCGACGACGCAATAAAAAAGACGCATGGGTCGCGAGCGGCGGCGACGACAACAAGACGAGCCCACAGGCGACAAGGCGACTAATGACCATCCAAAAATGACCGCGGAAGAGGAAGGAAACGAGTGGGAAGATTCAGCGAGTTCAGAGTGGCTCATGACCGTCAGGTCGTTGCGTATATTCTCCACGAGGCTCATGATCAAGACGAGCCCGGGCGCGGAGGAGCGCAACATGGTGGACAGGAATGACTCAAGGGAATGGTAGTGAAGGTGGGCAGGGCATTCAGTTATGCATGAGAGGCAAGTTGCCCCAGCTCGAGACTCTTGCATTACTTACCAAGAGGCGGAAGGTGTGACGGCAGTGTGACTGCGATCGGTCGGGAAAACCCGGCAGGCACTTGCCTTCAACGCAACTTCGACGTTGAACCCTCTTAATTTGATCTTCAAGTTGACGTCAGCGGGAAATTCTGCCCAATCGCTGCTGGTCCTACCTTCGCCTCGTCAAGCACCAGCCATTTCCGGACCAGAGGCCGATGTGGATGTTCTCAGGATCTCACACAAAACACCGATCAAGTACTAAAGGTCCTTTTGACGTCGTGGATAATCAACAATCGCCGGTCCTTGCGGTAGCGCTTCTTCGACTCTGAGCGCAACCCACACGTCTATCACTACTGGGTGACATTGGGCTGTGTTCCCAAGTACCGCCCCATACATCGGAGGTGCGAGAACTATTGCCCCGTCTTCAATACACATTTTAGACCGCCTCCTCGGTGCGAAGTATCCGATATTAAATAATATGTTCGGACGATGACCGCACGCTGCGCATAGCGTACGGGCATCGCATACGGGTGGCGTCGGGATGGCTGGCCTTCCAAAAAACTTAATCAATTTGCGATCCTCCACATGCATACCCCGACCCGTTTATTTATCCTCGCAATGCGTTAGGGTTAACCAGCCCGACATACGCCGCCCCGTCGCAGCGCATTCTGCACCAGCCTACCTCATGGTAACCACCACCCTCGTCGAAGGCAGCACGCGTCGCCACCCCCCGGGCGCGCCGCGCCATCGACGGAGGGGCAGCGGAGCACCGTCGCCGCATCCCGCTCGACATACGCCGCCTCGTCCGCCGCCACGTCACAGCCAGTCCACCTCCTGCGCACTACGGACCGACGCGCTGCCCCACCCCTTCGAAGACAGTACGCGTCGCCACCCCCCGGTCGTCGATACGAGGAGGGAGCGGAGTACCATCGCCGCGCTACGCGCGCGCACGAACCGCAGGAGCACGCGCACGAATAACGCGCCAACTCCGTAAGCAAGACACGTCGGTTCCGAGTCGAGTCCGCCTGCGGGGGGGACACCGGTGGCTGACACGGGCGCCACGACCAGCGGCAGAAGCACGAGCAGCGCGCCGACTCCGCGTCGAGCCCACGGACGACTCCGAAGTCGAGCCAGTGGGCGACACGACGCGGTGCGCTCGCCACGACCGACCCAGCACGACCGCCACGACGCGCATGCCTAGCACGACCGGCACGGGCACGACAGCGGTAGATGGCACCCCCACTGCTGCTGCTCCCGGCCACCACCGCAGGCACACGCACTCCCCGCCGCCACCAGCGCCGGGGATGCGGGAGGCCAGTCCGTGGGTAGCACTCTGCGCCTCCCCTCAGCCGCAGCTACGGGGCCCGTCCGCGCGCGAGAGCACGGACGCCAGACGCCAAAAGACGATGATGACGACGCATAGCACGACGACGCGGGCGACGCGCGATACATACGTAGATAGGTATGCGCCTGCGCAGAACAGTCCTAAAAAACAAAAATAAGGGGCAGAATGGTGGAACAAAACGAGACGAGACGAGCATGGGTGTGGAGGCCCCTCGCGCACCGAGTTCCGCGTGCGGTCTCCAAGCATGCAGCCATAAAGCGCTTCCGGAGCGGACGCCCCTCGCACGACGACGTGGCCCGGTCGCACAATAGGCGCTGCCCGCCAACCGCCCAGCAAAGCGCCTACTGTCCGCGCCGCGCCGGCCAGCGACTCCCGCCAGTGACTCGGAGGGCGTCGTAATGTACGAGCGATGCGCGCGCAGGGAAATCCGCGCTGCGAGGAAAGGAGCAGGGAGTGATACCCGTGGTGCGGTGGCACCGGGTACGGCGAAAAACAAGAACAAGGAAGGATACGACGGATGGATAGCATGAAAGGAGGAATGGCAGGGAGGGAAGGGAGGGAATATAACTGTCGGCACACGACACTTATCACTGAGCAGGTTGACCCAGGTTGCGACGCCCATGCGCTCGCCCGAGTCCTCTGTCTGCTTCATCATCTTGAGCGTCTCGTCGAGCAGCGTCTCGCCCGTCTGCCGCGTAGACAGCACAGTCACCGGCCGCTCCGTCAGGGGGGTCCGCCGCTGTATGAATCGTATCGGTCATGTATTTTATGGGTTCGCTTACACTCATCGGATCCCTTACAATCCCAATCCTTCTCCTCAGCGCCAGCTCCATGAGTATACACCCCCTCAGCACATAGCTGATGTTGTCGTTCCAGAAGCTGAGGTACCCCTGCTTGTCCTTGATGCCGAGCAGCAGCACCTCCTCCATGAGCGTGAGCTTCGGCACGCTGCCCTCCAAAGCAGCGCTCTCCTGTGAGCTCAGAAGCAGATCGCGCGGGTCGTAGGCGACGCGCGACCCGTTGGCGAAGGCGCTGCCCGCGTATGGCGGTCACCGGTGAGACCAAGCAACTGGAGCTGCGCCTCGGGCGACTTTTCTGCGGGGATGGCAGAGGCGGGAGGAGAGGAAGGCGCGGTGTCGTCGTCGTCGCGTGTTGTTGTCGGGGCATTGGCGCGTCGGCAGGCCATGGCGGAAACTGCGTGTGGCAGTGTTCGGGTGGAGCCGAGGGCGGTGCGGTCAAAGCGGGCGTTATAAATCAAGGAGCGTGGGTGGAATTAAATTTGCGTAGTGGGCGAGACTACGCAGCTTGTTCAGAAATTGTGAAAAAAAAGCATGCTAGAACACATACATGCACTGGCGAGGGATCGAACCCCGACCTGCCTGAAATGACATCCGATCCGAATTCACATTGAAACGCAGCGTGCACCATGCACCACCGGTGCTTATATCCATCCTTCCTGACCCTGATTTATACAGTTCTAAATCGCCCAATGGCCATCGTGATCTCTAAATAGGCCCATTTCTCAAAGTTCAATCAACATCGGTCTCGGCAGTGCCCAACTTCTTCAACCACATCAGTTTTCCCCTGCTCCATCGATATCCTCGGGACAAGAGGAGACTAGGTGTGAGACCCGTTATAAAAAAATGATCGACCATGACATCTGTATGCACCGGCGGGGAATCGAACCCCGAACTGCTTGACAACCCTGCGCATTCAAGCGTTCAAATTTTAGGGCAGCGTGCACCATGCACCACCGGTGCTTATATCCGTCTTTTCTGACTCTGATTTATACAGCTCTAAATCCCCCAATGGCCACAGTAGTTCAACTTCAATTTCTTACAGTCTTGGAATCAACATCGGTCCGATTTCTTCAACCACATCGATCCACGAAAAATCTGTCGATACGTACCTAGGTCGTAGGGAAAAAATGAAAAAAAAAAATTCTGAGGAAGCGCGAGAACAGTCATAGGTAAAATAAAATAAAAAAACTCTCAACACATGCACCGGCAGGGAATCGAACCCGATTTGCCTGAAACGCCGTTCTTCGATCTTCCTGTTTAATGGCAGCGTGCACCGTGCACCACCGGTGCTTGTATCCGGATGCCGGAAATGCTGCTGGAAAGCAATCTGCGGGGAATGTGGGGTGAGCTCAGAGTCGACACAATTATATCAGAGGCTTACTGCATTGCATCCGCGTACACGAGGCTGATATTATCGTTTGTGGGACGCACTCTGGTCGAACCGTTGTTCACAGGGATGCCCTAAAGGCCGATTTCGGCGGCCGTGAACGCAGAGCCGACGGAGGCAAGCTGCGCGGCTGTCGCTCAAGCTGTGGTTGGCCTGCAATGTCACTATAGAAGCCAATAAACAAGTGAGATTCTTCTCAAGAGGAATCCACAATAACACACGCACAGATCGTGGGACTGACGTTGCGCAGATTCGTGTCGACAGAGTCCACAACCCCGAGGATCTGCGCGTTCGTATTCATCGCTTGCCGAACACCGATCTAGAGACGAAGCCAGAGTAAAGAGGCGGGACAGAGTGAACATGGTGCAAAGGGAACGAGGTTGTTCGAGCGACGAGGTAAAACACCCCGGAATAAAAGGGAAGTCGGTGGGCAGGCGCTGGTAGACGAAATCCCGCGGTTTGTGTCCCACAAATGTCAACCAATTCATTATATTGACCCAATGGGAAGAGTGATACTATTTATGTCATGAACGACATGAGGGAATGGCAGATTATCAAGGGGAGTCTTCCCAGGTCTGCGAGGGTCGAAGCCGTGCTCAAGGATAAAACGGCCCTGAGTAGCGCATAATTTCGTGAGCAATTCTGTTCATCGCTGCGGGATGAACCGGGTTTCCTGTCGCCGATGCAGGCGACCGCTCACATCACGGTCTCATGTTTACATGCAAACCCAGGCCTAAAAAGCTCTAGATGTTGCAGATAATTAATTTGTTAGCACAGGGAGCGCACGCCAAGAATAAGGCGTGTGTCACGATGATTCTTGTCGAAGTCCGTGTGCAGGTCCGGAGGGTACGGGGGGTTGCGTCGGTCTAGAAGGGCGGCCATGGGAGAGGAAAGTGCGGCAATCTATCTCGTTACTCGGCGTGGACCCGGGTGGTGGCACTTGGAGTTCGTAACGGCGTGACGAAACCTGAGAAATTGGCGGAACCGAATAAGTACTAGGACAAAGCAGCTCAAACCCTTCTGCTCCTCTTAGTCGCTTCTGCCTGGCTTGCTTTCTCCCCCCCACACTGCACAATATTTCAGATCATGTCTGAGTCGTTGAATTACACCGAGATCCCGATGGTGGACTGGAGCCTGTCGACGACTAACAAGTCCCTGTTTCTCCTTCGGCTGCGACGCGCCGTGGTAAACGTCGGATTCCTATATCTCTCCAACCACCCGATACCCACGGATATTGTGGATAAAGTCATAGAGATCACTCCCACCTTCTTTATGCTGCCCCAAGAGGCCAAGGATGCGATCGACATGGCCAACTCTGCTCAATTCCTCGGATATGAGCGAGTGGGACACGAGACCGTAGGGCGTGACGGGAATCGGCACTCCAGCGAACGCTTTATGTTCGGCGGGGACAGAGTGTGCAGATATGAGGATGGTCAGCCCGAGTATCTGAAGTTTCACGGAGACACTCCAGTATGTACTACACGTTCCCCGATATCACTGTGTTTCTGAAACATTTCTAGTGGCCGGACGATGCTTTACTCCCCGGATTCCGCAAAACGATGCTAGAGTACTACGTCCATGTGGAAAAATTCAGCTACGAGTTCATGTCGTTGGTGTCGGAAGCATTGGGCCTGGGCCCACACGAATTAGATGCGCTCTTTGATGCCGATCGATCAAAATTGCAACCAAGGGGCAAGTTGTTGTGCTACCCTCCAGCTGACCCTGGTGCGGAAGGCGTACAGTCTGGTATTGAGGCCCATACCGACAAGAGTGTTTTGACCTATGTATGTACAACATCGATTTTACGGTTGCCAACGGATGCTAATTGCCACCGTATATACCGTAGCTGCTTCAAGCTTCCGACCAGCCCGGACTCCAGGTCCAGAGCCTCACGGGAGATTGGGTCCCTGTTCCTCCAATCAAGGGAACGTTCGTCATTAACCTGGGAGACGGTGCGTTATGCTATTATCGCCGCATATGGCTGGCTAACATTATCATTCAGTATTGGAGAAGGTGACTCAGAGGATTGCGATTTCCACAGTTCACCGTGTACTCTCGCCTCCCAAAAAGATCCGTTACTCGGTTGCCTTCTTTGCCAGTCACGCGATGCACGTCCGGATCGCCGACCTGAAGTTCAAATGTGCGCAGTGCCGTACTTTCGTAGCCGGGTTTTACCAACCATGTTTTTACAGTCCCCCAGGAGGTGCTGGAAATGAAGAGGGTGCGCGACAAGCATACGGGAAACATAACAGAGTGTACGACTCCGAGCTGGTTGTTACTCTTTGTGAAGTACTGACTTCTCACAGTCCAATATGAACCGAACGACTACAAAATTGCCGGTGAGGTAGCTCTGGTGGAAAAGGTCGAGGCAGACGATGGCGAGATTTTACCCATCCGTCTTCAAAAAATTCTATCCAGATGGTCAGCCGGCTCGTGTGATATTGCAAACCTCCTAGTACTGCCTTTATGTCTACCGTATACAGATCAAACGGTTTAGTGTTTTGTAAAGGCTTCTTTCGAAGGGATCGAGTGTTTGTGGAAAGTACAAATAGATCGAGGGTACTAGCGGGTCTTGAAAAATTTCCAGGTTAGGAAGTAAATAAATGTAAGGAGCACTTGACAGAGACGTGCAATCCACCAAAGCAGATAGCCGTACCCACGACGATGGTCCGTGCTCTCTCCCGTCTCTTGACGTACATATCGCCAGGGTTAGAAGAGGGAATATAAGTACTGTGAGCTTAATTGAAGCCTTCAAGCAAGTTATTGGGGCAAATGAGCCGGTACACAGGCGGCGAATATCATGGCGGTGATGGCGGCGATGGCATCAAAATGCTACGGCGTCTGCCGGCGACTTAATATATCTGTGCCCATATACTCTGGGAAGGCGAAATTTTTTCAGTATTTATTCCAGTAGTACCTGAAATAATATATTTCATTGCTCCTGAAAACGTTACCTTTTTCGGCACGCTTTTCAGCGGATCTAAAATATAACTTTTCAGAATGTCCGAAAACCGTTCCTAAATAAGTAAATTCAGTACACCTTTCAGCAGCTTCCAAAATAAGTATTTTCGGAAGTGGCTGAAAAGTGTTCTGAAATTACTATTTTCAGCAACCGTTTTGGGCACTCAGAAATTACTTATTTCAGAAGTCTTTTCGGCACGACTCAATTAATTAATTTAAAAATCATTTTCAGTGCCGCTGATAGTTAGGTTTTTACAGTGTGCTTATGTTTTGAAAACGGCTGTAATGGAACACACAGACGAAGGATCACAAGAAATGGCGGTGTCAAGAGAGAAGCGCGTCAGTTAGAGGATCCCCTTCTTCTTCTTCGACTTCACCCAGCCGGGGAACTTATTCAGCATGGTCATGTCCACCGAGCCCATCGGCCGGGGACAAACGAACGTGCCCAATATCCCATTCGTAAGCTCGCCGACCTCCGTCAACACCGTGGCCAACAAATCGTTGACATTCCCGAGTAAATCCGGGAGCAGGATCTGCACCAGTTGGTATACGAAGCAGATCAGATTCATCCCGTCCGGATGGAGAAGGTCGTCAAGCGAGTAGGCGCCATGAGTGAACGCCCCGAGGTCGAGCGGGAAGAACGTGTTGGGTTTGCCGAGGTTGCCGCCGAGGGAGAGCGTTATTGGGTACCGAGCCCACATCTCAAGCACCTGCGGCAGGAGGATGGGCAGGTCCCATTGGTATAGCAGGGCTCCGGGGCGGCGGTAGTATATGTCGGGTATGCGCTCGGATCCACGGGTCCAGGTAAGCTTGCCGTCAGGAGAGTGGGTAGCGCCGTAGAGCGACATGAGCCCTTCAACGCTCATGATTCCCTCTGGATGCTCGGCGGAGTAGTTCGCGAAGAGCGACGGGGCTTGCAGCGCCGTGAAGGCTCCCACAATCTTCAAATCGTTATGGGTTTATTCGAACATTGGAATGAGTGATTGCTTACCATTTGCACCGGTCCGAAGAAGAAGAGCCCATTGTTTGCGATAGAGTCCGCGATGCGATTGGCGTGGTGTTTGCTCACGAGTGCAACGCTGTTTCTAATGTTCGAATCTGCAGCGTACAAATCTAGAAGCTGCTGGAGATAGTCGAGCCGAAGCGTGTGACTGTCGTTGCTTCAACGTGAAATCAGTACGGCTCAACTTGGTGGACGAAAGTGAATGAGAGACGCACCAGATATATAAGTCGCATCGCGTGAGAGAAGCATCGCACTCGAACTGATTGTGGGTGTTGGTGAGACCGGAAGGT